CTATATATATATATATATATATATATATATATATATAGGCATGCATATTAGCAGGAATAGAGCTACTCATTTATCAGATCGAGAATTTTTTCTTGTGGATAAAATCTTCCTGACAAACTGCTTGTAGGCAATGGCACTGGTGGAGAGTCCATCTATGGAGGAACATTCGAGGATGAAAGCTTTGAGCTGAAGCATGACAGACCGATGCTACTGTCAATGGCCAACCGTGGCAAGAATACAAATGGATCTCAGTTTTTCATGTTCGTAACAATCTACATTTTGGTGCAGTGAATTGCTCATCATTAACAGTTAGGAAGCAGTTACTCTTATTTGCATTTTGACATCTCTGTGTTTAGTCATTTACTTTTTTTATGGTCGACATTGTACTACATTTGGATAATATCTTCCAGGTTAACAAAGCCAGCTCCACACTTAGATGGGTAAGTTGTATTTGCTAATATTTTGTTACATGCAAATGTTTGAACATGCTTAGATAATTCAAGTATAACAATTTGCTCGTTTGAAATGGTATTACATTGCAAAATGTCAGTGGCTCTATCCTTTCTTTTCTAGTGTGCATGTTGTCTTTGGGAAAGTGATTGGTGGGGAAGATGTCATCAGATCCATCGAAAATATACCAACAGATGAAAGCAGCCGGCCAACTGGTGATGTGAAGATTGGCAATTGTGGCGAATTAGTGCTACAACTGAAGGCCATACGTAAGTCAGTCTAGGAAATCATAAGCTAATGATTTTTCCTTCTCGTGCCCCCATACAATCAAAACAGCCACACTAACGATGAAAATATAGCCACACATGCTGCAATAGTAGTCTCAGTGTTTGTTCCGTTATCCAGCTCCTCATATCTTTTGTTTTCGGTACATTTCTGTTACTGAGATACAATAGTTATGTTACTATTATGATTGAGGTGGGTAACCATTACCAGATACATGCATAGTAGATATTGTAGTATCAATGTAGTACAAATACTGACCAGGTTGTGGTTAAACTGGTTTTGACTGTAAAGGGGCAGAGTGTGTATCTATACAGTAAGCCTTTAGTCTGCCAATTGGACCATTAGTTTCATTGTGCAGGGAACTTGAGCCTGCATTATATTTAGTAGCTGTTCCAAATACCTTCTTTTCCAACATAATGGGTTCATTCTGTTATAATTTCATTGAAAATTGCAGGCAAGAAAAAAAAAGAGTTAGCAGTGAGTGAAAGTGAGAGCGACAGTGCAAGTACATCAGATAGCAGTGAGGACAGTGATGAAGATAAGAAGAAAAAGAGGAAGAAGGCAAAGAAGGAGAGGAAGAAGAAATCCCGTAAACGCGAGGGCAGCTCAGGAAAAAGGTAGAATCTTACGCTGAGTTAATTAGCCAGTATTGTTATCACGTAGTATTAGATGGAACTCAGTTTTCACCACGGTACCAATGTCAACGGTAGTGTTGGCCCTCATTACTTGGTGTGGTGCCTCTCTATAATCTAATGATATCAACGGCAATAAACTATCATAGCTTTTTTACCTGGTATGCTTTCCTATACATTCCAGTAAATCCCATGTAGAGTATATGTCTCTTCTTGTCCCACACAAAAATGTCTTGTTAAAATATAAGTTGCTTTGCTAATCTTTCTTTAAAAGAAATATAATCTAATCTTTCTGATTAATCAATTACCTTACGATCATAAAACTTAGTAATCATTGACATCTTACATTTTGAACATCTCTCAGCAATGAAGATAATGAGACAAAGAAGGAGGAAAAAGAGGAGATATTCAGCACAGTGAGAGCGGAGGAGGTGCCGGAGATTCCAGACAACAAGTTTCTTATGCGCAAAACGCCCGAAAAAGAAGTGTGAGTGAATTTTGGCATTGTGGACGAATGTAAATTCTTATTTAATTCGTTCTTGTATGAATCTCCGTCAATAATTGTAATCTTGTCTTTGTTATGTTGCAAGAAATATAACTGGCATTATTGATAAGAATTGATTGGTTCTCTCCAGGCCTTTAACACATGTCATGTCTGATGTGCCTTGTAAGCTAAAGCTAATTTGCGACATCCTATAGATTGATGTGTTTGTTTCCAAACTCACTGAGTTTATCCATGTCAGGTCCGCTTACAATACATGTAATCAAAAGCTAATAATACCTAGAGTGTACAACGGAAAAACGGGAAAATAGTGCTATTTCACGACAACATTATTCTACTTTGCCTGCGAGTCTATAATAATTTCATGGTATTGCATTAAGCAGAATTCTTTGCTCTCTAAAACAAGACCAACCGCTTGTCAATACGATACTCCTAGGCGGAGATATCGGCTCCTAAACCTCCCCTCCCACATGCCAAACGCCGCCTCGAATCCACTTCTGTCCCCATCCTTCACGCGTCTAAGCATTTCGGCTATCGGTTTCCGTCACCGCTTGGAGCGCTGATAATTGATGTCACATGCCCAAATTTGGTACTCTTACTAGCTGCGTTGTAGAGACTTAATTAAAAAAACATTGCCGGCTCCATCATGACGGGCATTAGCCGTGCTAGGAAAGATAATGGGAGATAAGGGCATAGGCGATGCCCCCGAAATTCACCTCCACCCTGCACCTGCACCCGAAAATCATTCATAAAATTATGGCGGAAAAACCGAGCTCTCACGAAGCAACGCTTAGCCGCGTGAAGGATGGGGACAGAAGTGGATTCGAGGCGGCGTTTGGCATGTGGGAGGGGAGGTTTAGGAGCCGATATCTCCGCCTAGGAGTATCGTATTGACAAGCGGTTGGTCTTGTTTTAGAGAGCAAAGAATTCTGCTTAATGCAATACCATGAAATTATTATAGACTCGCAGGCAAAGTAGAATAATGTTGTCGTGAAATAGCACTATTTTCCCGTTTTTCCGTTGTACACTCTAGGTATTATTAGCTCTTGATGTAATCGACTGTAATTGGCGATCAGGGATTATATACCTGGGGCCCATTGTTAGAAACAAAATTTGTCTTAACATTAGTCATAACATTAACTTCCACTCGTTAACCGTTGACAGAAACATCGTAATGTTACGAGAACGAAAAATCCTCGCAAATATCCTCTTAACATTACGAGAGCCCAGACCCTCTCGTAACTTTAATAATAAGTTGAAAATAACACATTTACACTACGAAGTACAATTATAGTGATATATTATATTTATTTATATGTGGTTAGCCATCATAATATGCATAAATTACTGTGATGTACAATAAATGTGTATGAATTTGAATTTTGTGATCGATTCTCATCCAATCAGCAGCCTTGTGACATGAAATTATAAAGTTCCTGTTATCGTGAGTTTGCTCGTAGCTACGATGTGTTTCTGTCAACGCTACTCTCGTAGCATTAACATTAGTCGTAAGTGTTAGATATCTTAGCATTAACATTAGCATTAACTTTACGATGTTTCTGACAACGGGCCCCTGACTATATACTACTCCTGGGGCGAACTCTAATCGTGAAAGCTCTTCTTTCTCCTAATAACTAACTTCGATGATCTATTATTTATTTCCATAATTGGTCATATAATCTGTGGATGCAAAAGACCAACCTTGGATTATAATCAATCATCATGACATCACGTGTTAACCATTTGCTTACCTTGCTGCTTAAATTTGCAGGAGAAATCCGCAAAGAAATGAGGGAAGAGATCGGGAGAGGTTTCCCGGCAGACGCTACGCACGAACTCGCTCGGGGAGAAAGGTGAAAGGAAGAGGTTCCCGGGTATGTTGCCTCCATTATTAAGTGCACATCTTTCATGCATGTGTGGTAATTTTCCTATAGCATTCACATTACTTGCTTGAGGTGATCCCAGACTGTCTGGCTGAATTAATATATATTAAGTCGGCTGCGCAGTCGGTTGATGTGTCTGCGTCTATGACTGTGGTAATACTGTGCCAGACATGCAAGTGACAACACACATCTGGTAATTGATGCTCATTGTAGGGTTAGACTTGGTCAATACTCGGGCATTACGAGTTGGTTGTTTCAACTCTGTCAGTAAGAAGTAGTGAGGTTGTTACAACGTTGTTCTGTTGGTGAGGTGGTAGTGTTTATGGTCATTGCAGCGCTATAGAACGCCCTCTAGAAGTCGTTCTCGGAGTTACACGCCGCCACACTGGCGGCAGGCGGAACAGCGCACAATCAAGATAGACGAATACCTCGAGGAGATGAAGCGACTCAAGGCAAACGAGGAGGAGCGAGAGGAGAGGCACAAGCGCATGACAGAGATGAGGGAGAAGCAGAAGGAAGCGGCTGCAGCAGAGATACCCCTGCAGGATGCTGAAGGCAAGCGTGAGCACCACAGGTGAGCAATGTGAAAATGCTTGGCAGGACTCCCTGATGGCAAGGGGCAAGCTAGCAGAAGGGGTGAGCTAGGGGTAGAGGCAAGATGTGACATGGGGGAAGCTAGGGGTAGAGGCA